GGGGGGGGGGGGGGAGAGGGGCGGCGCACCGCTGCGATGGCATTCGGGCGACGGGGGAATGGGAAGGGTGGGCGGGGTGGGACGGGCACGAAAGGCTGCGATGTGAAGTTCTGCGACGGCTCTGCAACCAGCGACCAGCCAACAAACACACACCATGTAAGGGAAACAATCCGCGTCTTGTCAGAGAGAGGGGATGATTCGTGGGGCGTGTACGTTGTGCTATGGGCCTCTGAGCGATGATTGGCTGCCGGATGAGAGGCGGCGGGCGTACGCCATCACGGGCAAGCCTCAGAAAGTCCTGCAGATGCATCCATCGTCAAAAGTGGGATCTGACATCATCTTCCTTCATCCTTCATCGTGCTTGCATCCCTCGCTGGCTTGCTGACCTCGAAATCCATGCAGACTGGTGTAGCACCGTCCCGCCGGATGAGCGATGCATTGGGATAGTCCCACACGCTGCTCATAAGTCATCAAACTCTCGCGCCAGACAGACGCACGTGTGCACGTCGGCGGTGAGGGATACAGATGTCGTACCGCCTGTTCTTGAAGGAGGTGTCGACTTGCTCCTCAACGCGCCCGAGGGCCGCCTCTCGGCTGGCTCGTTTAAAGATCTCTTCTGTGGAGGGCAAACGCAACTCACCCTTGCTGAAGGCGGCGAGGAGGTGCTGCTGCTCGAGAGCGGCGGCAGACGTCGACACTCGCAGAAAAAAAAAACAGGGTCCGCCGATACCCTTTCGGCCCCCAAAACTCCGGGTCCCTCTCCCTTCGGCAACAACCCCGTCCCGATGGTGAGGTTTGCTGCCCCAACGAATCGCACCGGGCGTCCCAGACGCACAGATGACAAGCAGAATCCCAGAAGGGGCAAGAGGAAAGACCCATCTCCCGGGAAAGACGTGGCTCCTCTCGTCGGCCTCGCGGCCGGTGCGTCTTGTAGACAGACAGACATACACACACACTATGACCACACAGTTACGGAGTCGTTTCAAATTGATTGGTTTGTGTGCGTGTAATGAGCGAGTAGATGTTGGCGGCAAGGACGGTGATCTTGCCTTGTTGGACAGCCTGGAGAGGGCCAAGAGGGAGGAGGACAGACGGACGGAGGAGATGCAGCTGCAGATGCAGATGCAGCAGAAGAAGGGCAAAGGCGAGATTGGCACACGGAGACATACACCTTTTATAGACAAAGAGATTCACTCATCGCATCGGTGTTGTGCGTACCTGCGATGCAGAGGGCGATGGCCGGAATGTGCATCTGCTGCATCCTGAAGTCGTCGGCCTCGTCAGCTCCCTGCCCAGACTCAAAGAGGTGCGCTGCACAAGCCAAGCAAAGGCCATGGACAACACAGAGCCTGCCTGTGCATTTGGGCAGTACACGGCGTACGAGGCGCCGGCAGCCTCAGAGGTGCGAGAAATCAACGAGTTCCGGCTTACACTGAGGGAGATGACGACCAGCGTGTCGTTGAGCATGGACATGTACCACTGGCTCAGATTCGGCAGACAGGTATCATCCATCCATGCCACTCACACACAGCACAGGGGGAGGGTGAACGTCTATCGTATCCTTTTTTTTTAATGGGCGTTCAGGACTTTTACAACAGCGTGGTGGACATGAACGCCAACACGGGCACCGTGGCACAGGTAGATACATCGATGGGCGTCGTGCGTGCGTGCGTGCGTGTTTGCGGATTTGCTGATTGATGGAGGGATGGATGGACGAATGGTCGACTCGACTCGACTCGACTCGCGGCGACAGGCAGGCCCAGGAGCAATCTGTGTATGTGTGTGTGTCCCAGGCTTTGGACAATCTGTCTCAGTGGGTGTCGGCGTGCGACGAGGAAACCCCCGAAGGCATGGCGCCCCGGGTGGCCAACAAACTACACACGTTCAAGTCAAAGGAGGGCATCTGTGCCCGTGTCTCTCTCTCTCTCTCTCTCCCTCTGTGTGTGTGTGTGTGTGTGTGTGAACAACAGAGGGATGACTCGGCCGTCGATCATCTGCCGCCGGATGAGCTGACGGAGGGCACTCCGTCAGAGGCGGAGGACCCCACAGGTCACCCCCTCCCGACAGACACATGTACATCTGCCATCCACACGTGTATGTGTGATGTGTGATTTATACAGCAATGCCAGGGGGCGCTGCAGCGGTCAAGTCGCAGCTCGTGAAAGGTGCGTGGATACATGTGTGTGTGTGTGTGCGTCTACGTGCGAGTATGTGTCAGCCGAGCAGCGTCGCGCCTTCATCACGGACCGGCTTTATCGGCTGTGGCACGCCTACAACACACAGAGGGAGTACATTCAGAAGCTTATCGACGGGCAGCACCAGCCACAGGCATGGAACGGGTCAACCATGTCGCGTGTCTTTCGTACCACAGTGTGCTGTCGATCCATCCATCCATCCATCCGTCTCTCAATCAGGTGCCAGATGAGGCCGCGCCTCCCTCACCCCCCACCCCGCCCCAGATCTCGCCAGAAGTACACACGCCTCGATCTACAAACACACACATATGCCGAGACACATATAGACATACATGTTTTGCTCTTTTGTGTGGATGTGATGGCTGCAGCCGTCCCCCGGCTACCCCCACTCGGTGTCGCCGCGGCTCTCCCACCTGCAGCCCGAACAATTTGCCGACGACCCATGTACACACATAGCATAGCATCCCCACCGCTTGCATTAAAGTCCACACGTGTGTGTGTGTGTGTTGGTCCGTCTCATGCATCTGATGCATCCGATGCATTGCAGCTGACGAGTGGCAAATGCTGGATCCCTACTTGGCCATGAGCATGCAGGTGCAGCAGCAGCTGCAGCAGCTGCAGCACCAAGACAGCAGTACCAGCACCACTCGGGCAGAGGCACCGGCGAGGAGAGACACCGCTGCCACTGCTACAGCTGTAGAGGCAGAAGGGGAGGAGGGCAGTGAAAACGGTCGGTGCCCACCTAAAGGTCTGCAGACGTGTGTGTACACGTACGTACGTACGTGTGTGTGTGTGCAGGTACCTCTCGGCCGGCCCCGGTGAGTGCTACGCGGAGGCGGTCGACGGCTATTGCCGCGTGGGCGGAGATCCTCGACAAGGAGGTGTGTGTGCGTGAGTGTGTGCGTATGCCTTTAATGGGCTGATGTCCTTATTGTGTGCGTGTGTCCCATGCCTGCAGCGCGCGGCGGTGTTTAAAGTTCGGTCAACAGCACTGGGGCTGAGCAACAAGGTCAGTGACTGAGTGTTAGAATGTCTGGATACGGCTCTCTATCTCTATCTCTCTCTCATTTATCATATGTGTGTGTGTGTCCTGTGTTAGCATAGGAGTCTGCGCGAGCGCTTTGACGAGCTCAAGCCGAGTCTCGCCGACGCATACCAGCAGATGACCGTACACACACACGCCCATGGCATACTCACAGAGACAGACACAACTTCATGACCTGGTTTTAAGTGGATGAGCCTATATATTTAATATGGACAGAACTTTCTTTCTGTCTGTGCGTGCGTGCGTTCAGAACATTGTCAAGAGCCAGGAAGTCATCACGCAGAAGGAACTGAAGAGGCGACGTACGCGTGTAGTCAGCACAGCGAACAAAGGGCAGAGAGACGTGTGCTGTGTCTGTGCGCTGTGTGTGTGTGTCTGTGTGTGCAGGGGATCAGATCATCCGTCAGGGATTGGAGGATGCGTGGATGAAGAGACGCCGCCTCTACAACGAGAGAGAGAAATGCACACACACGATACAGGCAAGCGCGTGCCGTCCACTTCTTTTCCATGGCAGACAGACAGATGGATAGCTGGACAGCGGGATCCACACCCACACCCACAGCCACACGCACATCGGCGGACACCTTTGTGTATGTGGGTGTGTGCAGCGGTATCGGCAGGGCAAGGCCGACTTGGTGGGCCTCCGGGCGAAGAAGAAAGAAATCCTGCAGGCAAGCAGTCGCGCCTATGCTTCCTCCACTGCGTGTATGTGTGTACGGTACGGTACGGCCCATCCCCTTCTGTATATGTCTGTCTGCGTGTGCACACAGGAGATCGACAGGCAGGACGGCGTGCAATCGACGGTCGACGACACACTCGCCAAGATCGCCCGCATACGGCAGCAGCTCCTGGTAAACCGGTTGATGCACACCCACCCACACAATACACTACACAACCGCACACCCACACAGATATGCGCGTGTCTGTGTGCCACATATATGATGGCTGCTATCCATCCGTCCACCCATCCTTCGTCGACTTAATCAGCGGTGTTCGGAGGAGCTGGGTGGGTACGGCTATGTGGTCCGTGTGGACCCCTCCACAATGAGGCTCAACCACAACTTCGACGAAAGGTGCAATACACACCACACACACGACTCGCAGCACGTCTGTTGTGATGTGTTGCGATGTGTGCACAGGCCGCTGCATGAGATGGTCGATCGCTATCTGCAGAAGCACCCAGACGTCCTCACGCAGGAACCCTCACACACAGGTCCGTATGCCGCTCAGCACACGAGGGTGGGTCGACGACACACATGGCTGGCGCACGGCACATGAATGAATGGCAGAGAGTGACGAGGACTCGGGCAGCAGCTCGTCTGCGAGCGGCGACCAGCAGCAGGGCACCGATGAAGACGGGCAGACAACAAAGGAACACAAAGTGAGTGAATGAGCCTGTCGGCCGTACACATGCACGAGATGGATGCATGTGTGTGTGTGTGTGTGTGTGTGTACACAGGAGAGGCGTCACAAGCGTGGCCGCGGGCAGAAGGGCGACGACAAAGACGGAGAGAGCACAGACACCATTGCCGGCGTGAGCAGATAGATATATCATAGACCTCAAACACACACACACACACACGCACTCCCTGGTGTGCTGGTTGGTGCCTCTGCTTTCCCTCTGTGTGTGTGTGTGTGTGTGATTGTGCGTGCTGTACGTTGCGACTGACAGTATTATGTGTCCGTGCTGACCGATCTCATGTCGGCCTCATCAGCCGCCACCGCCCCTCTGACGGCGACGCTCATCGAGGCCTCTGACTTCAGAAACCTCAAAAGATGCCTCGTGAGCAAAAGCAGAGCAGAGCAGAGCAAACCCATATCTCTATGTGTATGTTCAGCAATTGCTGCTGCTGGGGCGGCCGTCTGTCCAGCCGTCCGCAGAGGGCACCACGGCCATCAAGCGGATGCCACAGTTCTACAAGACACAGTCAGCAATCTTCGGACACATCCACACACACGAGGAGAGAGAGAGAGAGAGAGAGAGAGACAGAGAGAGAGAGAGACCCAGCACACGTGTTCTGCAGGAATTTCGGCCATCTCGTTGGTGTCATTGCAAAATCTCTCGATGTTTGGGTGAGTGGATAGATGGTGCTGTTCGTTCGTTGGTTCGTCTCTGCATGGGGGTTGTGTCTCGGGCGAATGTCGTCACAGGTGGGCAAGATCGACCTCTGTGACACATACTTTTTCGCCAGCACAATGGGCGGCGCCGTGAGCGGCTGGAAGCACACGCTTCACAAGAAGATTGAGCTACTCAGGTGTGGTGTGGCCTCTCAATTCCGTCCATTCCTCCTTCCACTGGTTGGTTGCAGCGAGATGAAGGAGTCTCTCGTCGAGGCCAACAGGCGGATTGTGTTCATGCAGCGGAGGGTGGACAAAATACTGGTGGGTGCGCCTATTCGTCAGTGTGTGTCCGTGCGTCCATGTGGATTTGTGTGTCGATGTATGTATGTGTCATGTTCTTAGGAGAAGCGCATCCGCACACCGGTTCAGCGCGAGAGGGCGGCCGAAGTGCAGACCATCAAGAACAACGTCATCAAGGCGAGCATTTGATGCATCCATACGTGCACGCCAGCAACACACGCATATGCCCGGTCTCTCTTTCTCTCTTTTGCGCGTGCGTGCGTCCGTACAGCCATTGATGTCTCTGCACCGAGACCGCTTTGTCACCCTCGTGGACGCCGTGCAGCAGCTGCAGGCAGCCACACACACGACACACAACACACACACACACACATACAATGCCACGCACGCATTGATGCAGGCTCTGTATGATTTGTGGCATGGCTTCGGAGTCGTCAATGAAGTGGTGGAGCGGGTCAGTCACACACACTCTCACATCGATCCATAAATGTAATCATCCCCTCGTGTGCAGGCGCATGCGTCGTACGGCACGGCGAGTGGCGGGCTCTGCAGATGGGCGTTCGAAAATGAGGGCGCCGAGGTGAAGCCACACAACACACAAAAGCACGTGATCTTTGTGGCGCGATGATGCTTACGGCATCCATCGGATGCACTCATACATGTATCAGGGCGGCGTATTCTACCTGACACACAGAGAGATCCTCGTGCTCAAGAATGTGGTCGGTAGTCTCACATGCACGACAGAGTGGGACAAGACTTGTCTAGAAGCAGCACACACATATGTGAATGTATCTGTGCGTGTGTCGTGTGTTTAAGGGTTTGGACATGACGGCTCAGATCATCCGCAGCACGCGAGACATCACCGGCAGAAAAGACGACGACGGCACCCTCGGCGACATCCATGAAATCGCCGAGTGAGTAAGCAACAACCCATCCTCACACATGCACACAGATGTCTCGCCATGTTGAGGATGCACGTGTTGACCGAATGTATGTATGTATGTCAGCCTGCTGGCTTCCGTGCCGGCGGTGCATGTGCCTGAGGAGCTCACGGCTGAGGAAAGAAGGAGACGCAGCGAAGGTCAGTCGGTCAGTCAGTCAGTCAGGGGAGTCACTCAGACACCCGCATGTACATGTGTGCGATTAACGAACAGAGCGTGTGCATCGGCTGACGATGCGCCAGCTGCGGATGGAAAGAATCAGAGCCAGGCAGCTCAAGCAAAGGTCAACATACACACCACCACACAGGATATGCGACAGACACACATGTACATATGCATGGATGTGTGCAGGCTGTTGACGGTCGAGCGTGTGTGGCTGCTGAGCCACCACTGGCACGTCGAGGTCAGCAAACCCAGAAACAACCGCCACATTTCCATCGATGGATGCGTGTGTGTGTGTGCGAGCGTGTGTGTGTGTAGGGAAAGGCCCGTCTGGTGCATTTGCTGCATGACGAGAGTGACTACAATCGCACCGCTGAAATCACCGAGGAGGAGGCCATGCACGTACGCATACACTCCTCCCCCACACAACGCACACAGATGTGGACACATCAACTCAACAGCCTGGCTTCCTGGCTGCATATGTACAGGTGAAAGATCTGGAGTACCTCAGCATCATACTCGAAGGCACCCGAACAGCAGAGGCTCAGCTGTACGTGTGTACAGCATCACCCTCTCTCTCATCCTTTCTCACAAACAACCATACGTGTGCGTTGTTGTGCATCTGTGGCTCAGATATCCATCCACTTCTGAGCCCTCCGCGTCCACTCTCCTGGACCACCAAGCGTCATCCCTCAGGAAAATGTGCCACTTCTGGCACGTGGCAAACGGATGTAAGTTACCCTCTCCTCTCTCGTCCCCCCAATGTCACGCACACTGTCACATTGTCACATCCGTCAGGCAAGCGCGTGCTGCACACCTCGCGGCCCCCGCGGATATCGACTCACAAGCATTCGCTGGACCCGTTCGTGTTCGCATATCGTCTGTTTGGTCTCGACGAGCGACGGGAGCGGGGCAAGAAGAGCGTGCTGCTCAAGGGTGATGAGGAGAGGATCGATAGGGCCATGGAACGCATCAAGGTACACGGCGATGCAGACGGCTGGTTCTCATTCGTTGTCTGTCTGCATGTATGTTTCTGTTTTTCGTCTGCTTGTGTTGCAGCCGAAGCTGAGGGACCTCAGTGACTGGCAGGAAGTGCTGAGGAAGGTACGCGAGAAGGAAGCTCACAGACAGACAGACAGACAGACGGTCTGTCAGCACAATATATGCATGTCTGCAGGAGCATCATTTCCTGAGTGAGGCGCTGACAGCCGAGGAGCTTGCAGCCTTCTACGACATGAACGTCGACATGCCTGGTCAGTCGGTCTGCCGGTCGGTGTGTGATGTGACCATGAGCATGCACGAGCACACACCAACATACACACACAAACATGTGTCTCCCCACGTGCAGACTACTCTCTCCCCGTGGACCAGACCTCCCCTTCCCGCTCACCGTCGCGCGCGGCGTCCTCCGCCCCACACGAACCACTGCTAGTCGACGATGACGGACGAAGTGAGTAGTGAGAGATGCGATGCAGCTTACAGAAAAACAAGGAGCGAGCGACGGAGGGATAGGATTTCGTGACGATCCACTCCCTTTATCTCTTCTCCTGCCCTCTCTGTGGTTTGGCCAGGTCTGTCGAGCGACGATGACACCATTATTCGACCTAGAGGGGAAGACCGCAGCTCTGAGGCATCCTCGCCCCCTGACGAGTCGGTCTCATCCGTGCCCACTGACACCGAAGAGGAAAGCGAGCGCGACGATCGGAAGCAGAAACAGCCACAGAAGGCCGCGGGGCCTGTGTCAACAGGCTATGGCCTGGCCTTCGATTGGGACAAAAGGCGTGATGACGAGCACGCAATGGAGGAGGAGACAGGAGAAGAGATCGAGCCAATGGAGGTCACACAAACAGAGGGAGAGAGAAAAAAAGAGTTGTGCGCGACACCGTCCTTTCGTGCAGGCCCCGATCTCCCCCCCATCTTACCCCAACTACTACACGAAGCGTCGCGACGCCGTCCTCATCACAGAGAGGCCGGTCTTCAGGCAGACGGCAAAGGAGAAACTTTCCCCAAAAAAAGGATCGCCGGGCAAGAAGGAAGTGTACGCGTGAAAAGAAGAGATGGGGCAGGTGGTTGATTCGTCTGTATGTATGAATGTATGTATGTATGTATGTCTGCCGTCGATGACTCAGTGAGATCCGCGATCGCCCGTGGCACGTGACGAGCGGCCTCTCTCGGCTTCGAGCGCACCACGGTGTGCCCAGCCCACCGAAGGCACAGAGGAAGGACCAACGGGCGCTCTCCAGCCCCGCACAAGTACCGATTGACACGAGACCAGACACGCACGCATCAGCCTGCAATCGAGACACCCCCTCCCTGCATCTCTGTGTGCTGCAGGTATATCAGCACCGCCGCGAGCACAAACGCATGGAAGAGCGAAGAAAACGAAGACCCTCCTACGGCGTCGTGCCAGAGGTGGACAGGCAGACAGACAGACAGAGACACCACAGCCCCTTCCTCTTTTTTTTCTCTGTTTGTCTCTCTGTTTGTCTTTGCATACGTGCTGCGTCAACCAATGCTGGCAGATTCAGAAAGATGAGGCTGCCAAGAAGGATCGTTCTTCCCTTTGGGGTGGGAGGGGCGGTGGTCCGGTCACAGCTGCAGCAGCAGGAGCATCACCACTAGTGAGTTACGACCGGCGGCTGACTGTGGAGGAGGGTGAGATCGACGAGGCCCTCCACGATATGATCGAGTACCAGCTGGCCGAGGATGAGGCAGAGGAGCAAGAGGATTACAGTGACCAAGAGTAAGCCAAGAGAGTCCATGCAGGGGGCCTGGTAGCGCGGCCAGGCCAATATAGGTTGTCAGCCTCTCTCACTCTCTCGGTGTGTGTGGGACGTTTTATGTCAGAGGCGAGGGCGCATACGAATCTCAGGGTAACTACTTTGTTCAATGCACCCACCGACCCGCCACACTAAGTGTGTCTTTGTCCGTCTGTGATCCTGCTCTCTCTCTCTCTCTCTGTCTCTAGCCGGCCAGATCTACTCGCGCAGGAAACTGCCGCCGCCAGGAGCATCCCCACCCACCAAACCACGCGGCCACCAGCGGAGAGCGGCACAGCGACAATCAAGGAGGCCACATGAACAACAAGCCCCAGGAGAGCAACCAGAGGAGTACACTGACGAATACGAGGAAGAGGCATCCCCTTCTTCCCAACAGCAGTCTTCCGAACAGCAGGGCCAGACACGAAGATCACCCAGGCGGGACCAATGGAGAGTCACGGAAAGTGGTGTGGGTGTCGGTGCGTTGATGCCGTCACCCAAGAGGCCGAGAAGGGTTGCAGGGACGCCCAGGGACGAGGAGGGAGCTGAGGAGCAAGACAGCTGGGAGAAAGAAGATGAAAGCGAAGAGGGCGGGGCTGAGGGGGAAAGTGACCAGCGGAGGTAAGTGAGTAAGTCAGTGGAGTCTGTCGTTGTCTTACCTTCTATATACATCCATGTCTCTCTCTCTGTCTCTCTCTCTGTCTCTCTCTCTTTGTCTCTCTCTGTTGTGTGCGTGTTTGTATAGGGGGCCAGAGGGGGAGGGAGCTGAGCCGTCCGTTCCTCGGTTGCGTGTGCTGCCTGCTGCCGAAACCGTCCCAGCAGGTGATGAACCCGTAGTAGATGCATACACCATACATCACATGCAGCGACACAGCAACACAGCCGTGTGCCTGTGTTCTCTGTATGCCTGCCTGCCTGCAGCCTTCCCAGCAGACCTTCCTTCGTTCTTGCGGTCTGCCGAGGTGCGTGAGGACGACACTGCCGAGGCGCAGTGGATGAGAATGATGGCCGCAATGGGCATCGACGTCACAACCGTACGCTGACACACACACACACCAACCAATATCCCCTTTCCCGAACACACATGCAGATGGAAGATCAAGGAGAGGGAGTTGGGGCGGGTGAGGAAGAGGATTTAGCTGGTGATGCTGAGCGTGCCAAGACCTCGCCCGCCGTGCCGTACGTGCCAACCAATGGGGAGAGGGACAAGGGCAAGGCCTCGGGTATGGCCACCAAGCTGCTCGAGTTCTCGACACGTCAAGCGGGAGATGACGACGCCTCACGTGACGCGGCGCGGGACAGAAAGCTGCTACTACTGCGGTAACCAGACTCGCACCCATCTATACACATACATGTGTTGTCGGCCACATATCAATCATATGATTCGGCGATCAGGCGGCGAAAGGCTCGGTTGGCGGAGATGCGGCTGATAGAGAAGGGCGAGATCGACCCGACGGCAGAGAAGCTCGGTGAGGACCTGCTAACCACCAAGGCACTCATGGACGCAGCAGCCGCGGCAGCGGCAGCATCCCACGCCCCCTCTGAGCGGCCGAAGACAGAGATGGCATCACACCATCTTCAACGGCACAGAAGAAGGGCACGGATAGCGCAGCGAGACAGAAAGGACCGAAAGCCGGTCGCTGCAGATAAGGATGACGGAGGGGAAGAAGAGCCCCGGTTCCCGGCTCCGCAGGCGTTTCCATTTCCCCCCTCGCCGAAGCAGTCGCCAAAGCAAACCAAACCAGGCAGACTTCCAGTCGAGCCCACTTCCCTACCGCCAATTGACCAGCAGCAGCAGGAAGGAGAGGGAGAGGGAGAGGGAGCGGAAGAAGAGGCGGATGCGATTGACTGGCTGAGTGTGCCTGGCAGAGGGCCCACAAGGGCGATTCGCAAGCAGACGGCAACGCCCAAGCGGACTTCGCCCGCTATGTCTGACGGGCTCACCCCCTCGCCCCGTTCGTCATCCGCTGCGCTGCCCTACGTGCAGCCGGTGGATTTGCGTGGGCAGCAGGAGGGCATCATCGTGCCCTGCACAGAGGAGGAAGAGGATGAACAAAAACGAGACACCAGATACACGTACAGTCAGCCAGCCAGCTAATATACCATACCCCCGCATACTATGATGCACAGAGGCCCTATGGTATGCAGGATGCATGGGCAAGGCGAGCACGAGGAGGCCGAGCAAAAGGCCGACGAGACCATGCAGGACGAGAATGAGAGGAGGTCCCCCGTCACTTTGGCTGAGCAGGCGGTCACCAGCCAGAAGCGGCACTTTCAGCAGCAGCAGCAGCAGCAGCGGCAGATCCAGAGGGAGAGGGACAGCAGAGTGAGACGTGACATGACCGCCGCCGCCATCGCCAGTGCTGCAGAGAGGGGAGGGGGGAGGAGCGGCGTGTGGGTCAAGACGCAGGAGTTTGACGAGTCTGGGCTGCCCGTCTTGCTGCCATCCATACCCACCACACGCATCACCGAAGGCCTCAGGAAAGTCAGTCAGCCAGGGAATGGGTGGTCCCACGCACATACATGCCTCCAACACACATGCACCCGCACAAAGATTGACACACGGACGGATGGGAGAGAGTAAGAATGTGTGTGGAAATATGTCAGACCCACGAGGGCGAATCGACGAGCAGAACGGACCGGTCATCGCCATCACGAAGGCCACCCAGCCGCCCCAGCCCCTCCAAGCAGCTGCAGCAGCAGATACCGCTGCCGCCCTCCCCGCCTTCCCTACAAGACGCCGCCATGCTCATGATGCGCGCCGCCCTATCGCCAGCCGACAACTTCCGTCATATGAGGGAAGAACTCAGAGAGAGACAACACGTACGCTGAGCACACGACCGTCGTCCATACGTGATGTGTCTGGGCATCCATCCATTCAGAGTTTTGAGTCGTCGGAGCAACAGAGAGAGGAGGAGATGGCTGCTGCCGCCGAGCAGTCGCCGATGTATGAGGGCAGCCTCTCGGGATCATCCATTGACTTGGGCAGAGACGAAGACCAGCCGGCCGACCTGGAACGGCCTCTGGCTGCCGAAAGGCTCATTGCAGCTCTGAAAAGGTAAAGACAAAATGACAGACGCACAAGCGGGCGTCCGCGCACCCCTTCTGCGCTGTGTGTATTGATTGCAGCCCCTGGACAATGACTGTGAGTTCGCCCGACACCCTCGTCAGCTCCAACGGCATCACGTCGATGATGCCGTCACCGCCACAACACCATTATCCCACCGACCAAACAATGAAGATGATGGCTTCTCCTGAAGCCGACATTGGCAGCACCGGCGCGCCCGCTCGGACCTCATCCGGCAGGATGGGCATGCTGGCACAGGTCCTCATGGCCGATGCATCAAAGGCCGCACTCAAAAGGTAGGTATGCAATGTCTTCGTGCGTGTCTCCCATCCATACAGACAAGGTGCATCCACGCATCTGTGCGTGTGTGTGTGTGTATCTTGCGGCGTGCAGGAGGATGCACCGCATGCGAGACATCAGCGCACTGGCGCCCATTAGGAAGGGGAGAGGGCCGCCGGGGGTCATTTCGTCGGTGGGGCTGTTGGGGCAGCCGAGTGGCGGCGGCGAGAATGGAATGCAGGGCATCAGCAGGGTGTCGCATCTGAAGAGAGATGGCAACATACTCAGCACGACTTCAGGCAGGATGGACAAGCCGCACAAGAAGCGGGCGATGCTTTGATTGCATGATGCTGCCTTCAAGCTGGCTGGATGTTTTCGTGCATGACATCCACCCTCACACACGTGGCGTGAATCAATGGCTGAACCACTGACTTGTGTGTGCGTGCGTGTGTGTGTGGAGAGATGGGGCAGTCCCCCTCGATCCCGCTTCTCTCTCTGCCCTCTTTCTCGTTTGTCTGCGGGAGTGGGTATGGGTCTGTGCTGTGCTGTGCTTCCAGGGGCTGTCGATATCTCCGTGGATGAGCTGCGTGGTGTGTCGTCGTGTCCGGTCTGTGCGTCGTGCGGACGTATCCTTTGCCTGCCTGCCTGCCTGCCTGCCTGCCATCTCGCGGCATCAATCAATCCTGATGCGACATGCATTTCAATGTCGACGACGAACTCACACACAGACGCACACGACAGCGAGACAGTCGCCTCACGCAAGCGACAAATATATACACACCAGTGATGGACGTACAAAGCAAGCAAACAGGCCATAGCCAAAGCAACTGCTCGTCGAGTACGCGACCTACGCCCCTATCCTATCTCTGTCTGTCGCCCCCCCGCCCCCCCACGACACAGATCTCTGCACATGAGCATGGCCGGACAGCTGCTCTGCCCCGCGTACGAGAGGATCATTGTCCTTCGGGCATCCTTGTGGATACCTGCAAAGTGCGCTATGAACTCGCTCCCCTCAGCCACAGTCCCCTTTTTGGCTCCATCTGTGGTGCTCAAGGCCTCTCCCCCACAGCTCGTGTCGTTGGCCGCCTTTGTGCCTTTCACACAAAGCGGCCGAGGGGATCTCTGCACACTCATGGTCTGCAGGCCGCCGTCCGGTAGGAGGGCCACCCGGTAGTCGCTGGGAATGGCTGAGGCTCCGTTGCTGAAGGAGAGCGCGCACTCACAGTCGACGGGCAGGCTCCAGTTCGGTTCCTTCCACTTGCGTCGAAGGCTTTGGAGGCGGTGGTTGGGGAGGATGGCCACCTCGTTGGCAACCAGAGGGTCGACCAGCTTCATGCACTCGTCGCCGGCGCACTTCTTCATGCACCGCTTGAAGCGCCGCCGACACTTGCGCCTCTGCTCGTGTGGGAGAAGCCGCCAGTTGAGCGAGATTTGCTCGCCGGGCATCGCGCCCTTGTACGCCGGCTGGGGCGGCCCAATGGCTTCGTCTTTGATCACTTCCAGCGTGCCCTCCAGGACCTCACGAGTGAAGTTGCTACGCGACCACACCATCACCCCTAAACGAACCAACACACCGAGAGAGAGAGAGAGAGAGAGAGAAGCACCGGCAGACTCATGAACGAAAGAAAGAGAATGAGACGATTTGTGTGTGGTCGACCCATGACCTTCGCACCAGAGTTGAAGAGGAATGGGCTGATGTCCGACGCAAGGAGGGCTTTCTTGTCGGGGAACTCCTCGATGAAGTGGTGAATGGGCTGGCTGCAGTTGACAAAGATGGTGTCAGCGTCGGCCCACACGACGTAGTCGATGGGCACCTCATTGGGGCTGGCCGTAAAATTCATGAGTTCAAGCATCAGCTCCAGCTTCGCCCGGTAAGCCCCCTTCGGGCCCGGCGGCGCGCTCTCCTGAAACAAGGTGATGCTCCGATACCCGTGGATGCTGGAGTACCTGAGGGCCGGCCGACCATCCAGCAGGCGCCAGACACACAATCAGACACATACCAATCAATCGACCAGCATCAGTGATAGTTGGCCTCCCTCTGTTTCTCTTTATTTTGCGCACATTCTGTGGTTCTCAAAGGCAGCCTCGAGCCACTCTGCCTTATGGCCAAAGGCAGCGGTGAGGATGACCAGTCGCGATGAAGGCCACGTGGGAGGCGGCGGGGGAGCTTCGAAAATGAACCGGCGTCGGAAGGCTTGCAGCACCAGGCCAAGGTGGGGTCGGAGGTGCCAGTGAAACACTGCCAACGGGGAGACAGTCGCAGACACACAGACACAGGCGGTGACAGCCCTTTCCTCTCTGCTCTGCCACATGCCCGTCCGTGCCTACCGGCGCCGCCATAGAGCAGGACGGTGACGAAGAAGAATGCTTGGGCGCCTGTGATCAACAGAAGCTGCACCATCGGGCATCGCCTCAAAATTTACTTCCGTACAACCCCTTGTAAATGTAAATGCCGAGACACATCAGATGCGCGGGGCATGTCATCAGGCCACACACGGCATCATGCAAGGCAGCAGAGGAACATGCCACGCAGAGAGACAAGGCCAAAACTTACAGAAGGCAGTCTGGGTGGTGAGAGGGAGCGGGAGGGCAGGCCCGTGCGCAAGGGGCAGCTCAAGAGGAAGGTGCAGAGCGACCATGACGATGACGACAATGACAACGACGATGACGATGAGCGCGACGAGGACGAGGAAGAGAGTGAGGAGGTCAGAGGAGAGAGAGAGCGAGAGAGATGCCATTGGGATGCCACACACATGCGCTCTTGCGTGCGTCGTGTGTGTCGATGTGTGTGTGAATGGGCGCGTGGGTATGGCGGCAGGATGACGACGAGGACGAGAAGCCCAAGAAACCCAAGGTCAGCCAGACACCTCACACACCAAACAGTGCACCCGCGACATCCCCCCCCC